CCAACCAACCCTTCATCCATCTGTCCCTCTGCTCTTCCCTCCAACCAACCAACCAACCCTTCATCCATCTGTCCCTCTGCTCTTCCCTCCAACCAACCAACCAACCAACCAACCCTCCATCCATCTGTCCTTCTGATCTTCCCTCCAACCAACCAACCAACCAACCCTTCATCCATCTGTCCCTCTGCTCTTCCCTCCAACCAACCAACCAACCAACCTTTCATCCATCTGTCCCTCTGCTCTTCCCTTCAACCAACCAACCAACCAACCAACCAACCCTTCATCCATCTGTCCCTCTGCTCTTCCCTTCAACCAACAAACCATCCAACCCTTCATCCATCTGTCCCTCTGCTCTTCCCTTCAACCAACCTTTCATCCATCTGTCCCTCTGCTCTTCCCTTCAACCAACCAACCAACCAACCAACCCTTCATCCATCTGTCCCTCTGCTCATCCCTTCAACCAACCAACCAACCAACCAACCAACCAACCAACCAACCCTTCATCCATCTGTCCCTCTGCTCTTCCCTCAAACCAACCAACTAACCCTTCATCCATCTGTCCCTCTGCTCTTCCCTCCAACCAACCAACTAACCCTTCATCCATCTGTCCCTCTGCTCTTCCCTCCAACCAACCAACCCTTCATCCATCTGTTGCTCTGCTCTTCCCTTCCACCAACCAACCATCCATCCTTCCTTCCTTCCATCCATCCGTATCTCTCTTTCCTTCTCCAGGATGATAACTGGGGTGAGACGACCACAGCGGTGACATCGGAGCGCAGCGCCTCCCTGGAGGATGTATCTCTACGGCACCGGCCCTCAGAGTCTCGGGCAGGCGGGCCCGGTGCTCGGACCATGTTGGGGTTCTATATGTTCTGTGTTCTGGGGGTTCTGACTCTGCTGACTCCTCCTATCTTCATCCTTCTCCCTCAGGTCTTGTGGCGCTCCGACCTCGAGCCCTGCGGGGTCACCTGTGAGGGTCTTTATATCTCTGTGGCCTTTAAGATGCTGTTCATGGTGCTGGGCTCCTGGGCAGTGTTCCTTCGTACCCCGCGCTACGTTCTGCCCCGCCTGGTGGAGTTTCGGGCTCTATTGCTTCTCCTGCTGTGCATCTTCCTCCTCTCCTATTGGCTGTTCTATGTGGTGAGGGTCTTGGGGGGCCGGGAGCGGGACCTGCTGAGTGTGGTCCAGTATGCCGCCTCCATGGTGGACGCCTTCATCTTCATCCACTACCTGGCCGTGGTTCTACTGGAGCTGAGACAACTGCAGGCCTACTTCATCCTGACGGTGGTACGGAGCAGTGACGGGGAGCGCCGCTTCTACACCCTGGGGACCGTCAGGTAGGACCGCAGCCGCCCCCATGTGAGCCCCCCAAA